ATCGCAGCAGCACCGCCGTTGATAATTGCCTTGTGCTTCTTTGGCAGTTGCGATTCAGCTCCCTGGTCATCCTCAGTTGCCGTCTGCGCTCCTCTCTTGCGCTTCTTCTCTTCATTTCTCGCAAGCTTCGCTGCCCTCTTGGCCTCCATCTGAGCCTCCCTCTTCTCGTCCTCCAGGGTAGACAGTGCACCAGACATCAGAGCAGGAAAGTGTTTCGCAAATCGCTGTATGCGTTTCGTCCTTGCACTTGCAGGTCTGATACAGTCAGTCGGAGGGTGGTATAACAGCATGCGTTCAGCAACACTGAATACTACGTGCTCATGACAAGGGCAATGTGATATACAAAAGGAAAGGCGGCTTCTCTATGTTCGGCGTACATGTGTATATCTAGGTAAAAAAGTTCAAGCTTCGGCGCAACATTTTCCAATCGGAGCTTGCCAAGATTTCGTACCTTTCGGCGAACCTTCCTTCAAGCTTTCGCGTGTTTAGCCTGCGTCTCTGATAGCTCTACAACACACCTGGAGATCTATACATCTTGAGGTTTCTGGGTTTGAGTTGCTGCGTTCAAGCGTCAAGTGCTCCAATTGCTTAATCTCCAACAAGACCAGTCAACATGTCCACACCAACATCTTCATATCAAAACATCAATCCACCTGATGAAGAAGTAGACAGCCTGCCTTCTTCCTCGGCTTCGTCCACCTCCGTGTCTCCGAGTGATGATGACTACGACTACAGCGATGCCGAGCGAGAATGGCGAGAGAGTCTTCAACAATTGGAATTGCTCCTTACCATGGTGCTAGTTCCCTACGTAGGAAAATATTTTGGACGAAGATGCGCATACTGGGGTAAGTGATAGCGCTGAACGATAGCTACGTCGAGCCGACAGCTCACAATGCTCAATCTAGGATGGGCCAAGTTTATGGAATGGAAATACCCAGTTACTGTCGAGATCACAAGCCCGGGAACTTTCAAGGGTGTTGGAGCCATCGAAGCCGCGGCGAGCTTATGACTTGGTCGGTTTGCTGGAGATTATATATGAGACACATCAACGCTTCGATGACCATCATGCGTTATCGCTCTCGACCGCTTCTCTGAACAGCAAACAGACAACAAGCTCAGCATGGGTTGTATACGATCCGCTCCATGAGACGGGAAGCTTTTGGCAGCACACAAAATCCATAATCGCCAACGTTGGCACTTTAACGGACATTCCTAGCTATAACGAACAAGACTTGGCATTCACCCTGTATTGCCGTGATTTCTTTCCGTCGACACGGTACTGGTATCGGGATTTGTGGGTGGAACTTGGAGAGTTACTAGGGTAAGCATACGAGGATACGACTACCAAACGGTCAATGGTTGCTCATCCACGGACCTCGGACCCATAAGCAAACGTCGGTCGTCAGCGCTTCCGCGAGAATTCTTAATCGGGTTAACATTGATCATGCCTGCAAAATTTGAAGGCGATCTGTACTGACGATTGCTCGCTTGCGGAAACACCATGGCCAAAAGTCTATACAGCACGTTATCCCGTTACTGGTTCTCCAAAGATAAGTCAACGAGCGAACGTCACTGGGGTTCAGCTTGACGAGATTTTACAGTGCGCAATGCAGCCATCGTGAAATAGATCCTCCTCCTTCTTGGTTGTCCCTAGCTTGGAATGATAGGGCTGCATCTTAGCTGGTGCGACAATTGACACCATTATCTGATCACAGAAGAGTATAGATTGGAGACTGTATATAAAAGAAGAATCCTTAGAGCCTCATAGGGACACTGCTGAACACGTGCAGATGACTGTCAATAGTCGTCTGCCTAAATCAGATGGCGTCAATGCTTGTAAATGTTCTTACCTCTGAGCGTTACACAAGGAAATCAATTGGGAATCATGTTCGGTGGCAGATCTTGTTCGCATGCATGGAAAAATCGTCTATATTTGGGTACGTAAGCTTCGCCTCCGCCTCGCTCCATGCCGCGGCTATATCCCCGAGGTCCGTCGAGGGGTATGCAACTTCATTTTGTTGACGCCATGCCTTATCTTCTATGGTGGCCTTTGTACTCGCGAACTGCATGACAATGCATGGGAGTTGATGTTCGTTAGTCCCTCAGCATTCAATCATGAGCCATCACGGCACTCCATACAGCATTAGCAAAGCATTGCGATCCTTCTTAGACGACAGTCTCGTCCACCACAGCTTCTCCAGACGTGTCAACCACCTCTCAAGCCTTAGCACAGCTCCTGCTGCATCCACGTTCGAGCAACGACGCTATTTTCATGACTACTTTGTTACACACCTTCCTTCCTCCTCATTGTCACCAGACAAGCAACATGGCCCGTCACATCACAAGCTTCCAAGAGCTGACAGCCAGCCGCACAAGCTAGCTGGAGGACGAGCTGCCTCTACCATCCAAGCCTCGGTTAGAGAAACAACAATTGTTCGAATTCCAATAAACAGTGCCAAGCACCACTATGGCGAGCAGATCAGCCGTGGGCAGAGGCCTTATCAGGAGGATACCCACCAGGCCGGGACAATTGCTATTCCTGCCTTTGCTCAGAGGAAGCCGATAAGCTTGAGTCGGCGAAGTCCCAACCCCAGTCAGGTAGAAGGAGGTCAACCAGGCGTTGTTGCCGAGGGAGGAGATCCTCAAGTGTTCTACTTCGGCGTGTTTGACGGGCATGGAGGAAGCGAGTGCAGTGAGTTCCTGAGGGAGAGGCTACACGCGTATATTGAAGAGGCTGCACTCTTGTTTGGTCTGGAAAGCTCGCTCCAATCACCTTCTACAACAGAAGCTAAGGAGTTGGACAGCGAAGGAGGTATCATGGGCGCGCAAGATGCTGAGGATTTACAACGTGACCTTGTCACATCCTGGAAAGAGACAGTTGGCGGCTACTTTCGACGCTTCCGTCCAGAGTTTTTCCCTGTTGTCCAGCCAACTAATACCGACGATGCTCCAGCTACTGTGAACAATAGTAGCATCGAGACTGTCCTCAGCTACGCCTTTCTAAAGGCAGACCTGGACTTTACGACCGCTCAGGCAGCCAAGCAAAGTCAAGAAAAGGCAGCGGAGAGCCTGGCGACATCTCAAGCTTCCTCACTTGACGACCCAGTTTTAAGCGATCAGCCTCTGAATGCCGACGATATGCTGTTCCATCCTACAATGCCCGCCTCCCAGAATCTCCGTCACGGCCAGCCCAAAGGCTCTTCCCCAGACCTCAACCTGCCTATTGGCGGCAAGAAGCGGTTTCAAGGCGGCAGTACCGCATCTATCGCGATGATCAGCACGCCGACCCCGACGCCTTTCTGGCATCCAGCAACGCCCTCTACCCTCATAGTCGCCCACGTCGGTGATACGCGAGTCTTACTTTGTCGCACCTCTGATGGCAAAGCCGTTCCTCTAACAGTAAACCACCATCCAAGCAACCCCATCGAAGCCAACAGACTTCGTCGCTACGCCGCAAGCTTTGTGACCGATAGTTTCGGCGAGGAGCGCGTGCTTGGCCTTGCTAACACACGAGCGTTCGGTGATATCGCCTCGAAGCGCATTGGTGTGAGCGCTGAGCCACACATAAAGACAACCCAGATTAACCCAGCCGAATACAGCTTCCTGGTTCTTGTATCTGACGGTGTATGTGGCCATGTTGAAGACCAGGAGATCGTGGACGTGGTCAAGGAGGCAAGGACGCCAGCTGAGGCTGCACAGAGGCTTATCTCCTACGCAGTGGAAGTCAGCATGGAGGGCGATAATGCCACAGCAGAGGTTGTCAGATTAGGTGGCTGGGAAAGGAGGGGTGAGGGCGGTGGTGGGAGCCTTGGAACCAAGGAGGCGAGAGACTGGAAGAGAGAGGCTGCTAATAATCCAAGAGCTAGGAGGCAGTAGAAATGACAATGAAAGGACTGTTCTAAGCCTACAGCTTGGGTCTACTTTGCCGTAATCTCGGGATGTCTCACAAGTTCCTCGCTTGTTCCGGTCTTGGTGAGACCGATCTATCATCATCGAGTCACACTTGCAGCTCAGCAGAGCTTAGAAGCATACTAAGAAGGTGCAAGGCAGCTCTAAGCTTGGATGTCCAGTAAGATGAGTCGCTCTAGCAAATGTAGTGATTGCACATGATATACCACACTGCAGCGCTTCAACGCTGAAGTCGATGGCTGGGCTTATACCCACTGGTGATGAACTGGAGCTTTTTCTTTCAAGGCTGTGAAGACGTTCGTATTCGACTGACGTTGTCTAAGAGAAGCCTTTAGGTTTCCTGCTACACTTCCTTCTCAATAAAACTGCCAGGACTACAATCAAGTGAGTGCACAATACCACAACCTCGTTCAAAACAAGTCTTGTCACTCCAATCGAGTCTCAAACGGCAGGTGTATTGAAACCTCCGTTTCAGAGTTCAGCATACTAACGTTAGCAAAAGCAAATCGTTTGCATCAACACATTGGGAGATCAAGAACACAATCGCCGGCGGTCACGCGGTGGAGATTGAAAGGGTGTTCTTCAAGGACCGGAAAAGTTGCGTTGCGAGACTGAATCAGGCTCCAACCTACTTGAAGGACTAACGAGCGAAATCTTGAAAGATGAGCTTGCAGTATCATATGTGATGACCTCAATCCAGAGCGGCGAAGACGCAGTGGACTCGATTGCAGCGTCAAACTCGCCAGTTTTGTAGCAGGGCTTGCTGATCCGAGATTGGACCCGCCTGTGCCAGACTTCAATCAAGGCCAAATAGAGGGACTTACCTTTGTCTCCACCTCAACACACTTCTCGAAATTCTAGGTGCTAATCAACAATTCGCTTTTACTTTTTTGAGTTACTCGAGTCTTGAGCCTTGCGTTGGATCTATTCAGCCTCGCATCAAGATCCCAGATCTGCCACTGAGCGGACCTATTCATCTAGGAAGCCAAATTTTATCGCACGTTCTACGTGAAGCAATATATATGGTTAACATGACTAGCGGTGACTAAGCACTCGTTTAGCCCACTAGTTTGGTCACACCAAACCCTTCAGCCTCTATGGCGCAGTGGTAACGCATCTGACTTGTATCTCGCCCATTTGATGTGAAGACAATCAGAAGATCGCTAGTTCAATTCTGGCTGGAGGCATTTTTTATTTTTTCTTGGTTTTCTCCACAAATATGTGGTTCATGATCGACCAGACTTTGCGTTCAGGTTTGTCCGGTCAATGACACAGATCCTGCTTGAGACGTTGCTGTAGGATCGCGTGACTCTTCGCCTTAACTGCGGGTGTTCCAGCTGCATGTCTCCTTACACGAATACCGTAATGCCCGACCTTCGCAAATGAAATTGAAGATTCACATATTGGCACCCGGGTAGTACTTCGGCATCGCAGCTCTCAGCCCTCACGCTTTGCTGTAGAACCATCCAACCTCGCGATATTTATCACTAATAGCATAACGCTAGTATTGACCAAATTAAACACAATCGATAGCAGATTACAATCAAGTTTACGCTTCACACTTTCTTCTTGTACGACTTTATGATGTTAGACTCGTCGAATTAGAGTTATTACGGCGATCACACTGGATAAGCGTAATCGTTAGTCAGATTCAGGACATGATGTTGCAGAACTTGCCACTGGAACCACTCCATCGTCGAGGCTAGGTGACCTTCAATGTTTTGTACTCGGGTCACTGCGCACCAGAGGCTGGGGATTTGGTAAAGCCAAACCAGTGGGATCAGCGAGTATTTTGTCATGGAGTATTCCTGTGTTACGCTGCTCAGATTCATTCCAGCTGCCGTTAGACGGACCTAAGAATCACGCGCACACGGTAGTAGATCACTCAGGAGACTGCGTTGAACAGGGTCGTGTGCACTGTCGTTTGTTCGAGCCATGCAGAATTATGCCACTCGTTGGCGTTTCGTGATTGTGACAGATATTCAGGTGCAAATCAAGGCTGGAGTATGGCCTATTGTGGTTGGGATGAAGCAGGGAACAGAACCGTCCATTCCGCGCTTCCCTATCATCAATTCAATTTCTCCACAACACTCTCACCTTCCTCTTAGGTATCTTAAAATCAACTCTCTATACTGTAAGATCAGGCACACGAGCGATTCTGCTATCACTACAAACAAACCAAGAAGTGTTTCGCTCCCTTCCGGTCTGAAGGCGCAATTGAGCTTGTGGACAAGTCCTGACAGGTCGTTTCCTAACGATCAAACTACTGTGTTCCGAGACTTGCATCTATGAATGTTGCACTTCAATGCAAGTCCTCAGCAGACTCATCATCCTGCCTCAACCAAAGCAGCGCTGGACCTACGTACTGGATGTCGTTGCTCAGCAACCCGTTGTTGTCGTCGTCTCGCTGCGTTGATCCACCTCCGTACATGAGATAAAAACTCAGTTGAGGAATGGCAAATATATGTGCAGACCCATAGTCATGCTAGTGGTAGATTTGGGAGCGTTTCACATATGTGGTCAACATTCGGAAGTGCACGGGGCCCGCATTGCCGTGAAATGCATTGATACCATGGTAAGCCAAAGCGTTTGGGCGCGGCATGCCTTGCGCCCGGCTGGGTCCGGGTCGTCCCTTTCCTAAGCAAAATTCGAGAACGTCGGTACTCCACCGTCGTGTCAAGTAGCCAGAATCGCGAGAGCGCAAAGAGATGACATCCCGGCGAGTGCTTCAAGTCGACTCAATGTCTTTCCCGCCCGAATGCATGCAGGATGATTTGGATGTGTTTACGCACTACAAGGATCCACAGCTCTCCGGACCCCGCAGTGCTTGTCTATCCATCTGCGACTGCACAGCGATGCAGGACCTGCCTTGATACATCATTCTGCCTACCCGTTCGTTTGTGACTACTGCAACAGTGCGGACCTTATCTTGACGGAATAGTCTGCTCACCCGATCATTCACAACTACTGCGACTATGCGAACCCTGCCTTGATTTACGACTTTGCTTACCCATTTGTTTGTAACTGCTGCAATAATGCGGCACAGCATGATGGCTGCAAGGCAGGCGTACACCATTTATGAACATGGGACGGGTCCGGCCTTTGCAGGCTCGATGGACTCTCCGTATCCATTGGTGTTTCCTCCATTCATCCTGAAATGTCTCGGATATCCTGCTGGACTTGTCGCGTTCGCCGCAAGAAATGTGAACCTCAAGATGGGCGTTGTGGCACGTGTTTCCGTTTAGGATTCTCGTGTGATGGATATGGGCCTAGACCTGTTTGGATGGATGGGGGTGCTCGTGAAAAGCTTCGCAGAGAAAAATTGAAAACGTTCATCAAACTGGATAACCGAAAGGCTTGGAGCCAAGGATCCTTGGCTGCTCATGATTACCCACAAACAGGCAATCTGGGATCGAATGCGACTTCTCACGGCTGCGGTTGGTCTGGCGTGGCTCCGATGACTGTCGACCCTTGTGAGTTCTTGTTGCCGTCGCCAGCTTCAGCCTCATCTACTATGGCCTGGCCATACATCGAGAGTCAGTTTCTATATGATGAGACCGGCCAGACGATGCTATCCCAGCAGACATTCCAGTCAAAAGTAGCTGACGGCGATCTTGATCTGGAGATCGAAGACGATGACGAGGACAGCCAACGTATGGAGAGTTCTAAACAAAACTCAAATGATGGATCCGAGGACGGTGATCGAAGTCGAAGCAACACGAGCGCATCATGTGATCCAAATTTGGCAGCCTCTGATCGGCGACCAGGAATCGGTACAACACCAGACGATAGACTATCCCGCCACGATCTGATTATGCATTATCTAGACTCCGTGTTCGAGCTGCAGTTTCCATTCCACAGATACTTGCCTCGCTCATTGAATCGGGGCTGGCTGCTTAAGTTGATTGAAAGCTCCCCATGCTTAGAAATACTGTATTGGCCGTCGGGGCTCAAAGTCCTGCTCCAAACGGGTGTGGTTGGCTGGCTCCCCAATCAAGTGGGATGGAACAGCATCAGTCTCGATTCCGTGGCCTGAATATAGAAGGCGTACTCAACATACCTCTGGAAATTAAAGCCTGTACAGAGATGTTGGGGTCTCTGGTTAATCTCATTTGGCTTGCAGTAAGTTCCCCATTGCTCGACATTGGGTCGCCCACTGACTTCAAGGTGCAGTACTCAACCGGACAGTTGCCGGAGGCACACCCTCATCTACAAGCTGCAAGTGAGCTTCTTCAAGCATTATTTAACGCTTGTCCCTCTCTACAATATGACGTACGCTCAGCATTTAGAGCAGCTAAAGATCCATTTCAAGAGAATCAGTGCGGTTATTACAATGTTTGGCTACCGCCGGCATACTTCGCAAGTTCGATTCTCTGGCATGACACCATGATCGCGGCTAAGCAGCGTCGTCCGACTGTCCTTTCAGACAACATCACCTCGGCGATAGTAGAGATCTTCGGTTCAAATATACCAAGGCATTTGCTAGAATTGACTGACCTGCTTGGTAAAACAGCAAGACTGGATGCACAAAGGAAATTGAGTAACTCATCACAAGCTACATTGAGTGACTTTGCCTTGTACAGAATGGCAGTAGAAATACAATCATCTGTAGAGGCCCTGTTAGACGATACCGAGACTGCCCAGAAGTCACAGCAGAGTCGTGAAACACGACCGGAGTCATCCTCTCGCGGGGCAACAGCGCTCGGGTCCAGTCATAACATGGCCTCCAAGGCTCAAATAACAGGAGACGAGAACTTTCGCAATGTCGGATGGCTTATGGGAAGATGATTCTGATATTCTTACATTTCATCCTTTCTGGTTTAAAGGGCTCGGAGATACACGATTTCGTTCACAGTGCCATCAACATCCTTAAGACAGTGACTGGCTTGTGCCATTCAGCCCAGGAAGCCCTGCTTTGGCCAATTTGTGTGATTGGCTGTTTCGCGCGTGGTGTACAAAGGGAATCTTTCCGGGACATAAGGGAATCTGCTTTTGATTCAGATTACGTTCAAAAGCAATGGTCAGAATGTTGGGAAGCGATTGATGCCGGACGAAGGGGTGACACTTGGGAACGAGCAGCGAAAATATGCGTTTAGGCTATTTCAAATGACGAAACATCGCTCTCTGCTTCAATAACAAGACTCACGTACCAGATGGAACATGATCGCGAAGCGCAAAGCATCCAGCCAGCATGTTTGTGGCGTCGCCTACATCTCGGTGGAGTCCAAACAAGCTTTCTACTAATTTATTACCATCCCTGGTCTTGCATCTATAAGCTGCATGTTCTGTGCCTCAAGTCACTTGTTGATCAGGAGTTAGCTGCAATCCCACTGCTCCTATTAAGTCTGAGGTCCTTCATCGGCATTACTGACTCTGCAAAACACCTATACATAGTTCTCGACTATCAGTCAGCCCACTGGGAGACTTGTCTACATAATCATGTCATGTGAATGGTCGCGCGCGCGCGCTATGCTGGGCCGTCGACAGGATACAGCTGTTGTACTATCATCAGATTCTTCCCTCTCAAACAACGAGAATGAAGCTTTTCTCCCGAAAACTATGCACGGCGAAGAGAAGGAGCAAAGTTCGCCATCAAGATTCAACAGAGAGCGCTCGTTGTGGATCCTACTGACTCTCTTCTCGTCGGTACTCATCGTTCTCTGCCTTCTTGTACTTGCAAAAGGCGACAAAAGTGCGATATACGGGTCTGGATTTGTGACCGATTTGCAAATCGCAAAGTCTGCGATCCATCTAAAGGAAATCGACTTCCATGGCGGGATCACCGTCAACGCTAGCGGCGATTTCGAGCTTCTCTTGATTCGACCCAGGAGAGGTTTGTGGGGAAACCCACGAGAGCAATGGACGCTACATGGGATAGGATGGTGGGAAACTACGTCGCTCTTGATCCTATGGAAATGTCATCTATTTGAGGCGCAATGTCCCTCCAGGACGGAAAATATCTCGTAGTGTGAGTTGCAATGATGAAACGACATTGGCATACGCTAACTGATAGGCAGACCACACGTTCGCCATAGCTTGCATTGCATCAACTATCTACTTAAAGCCATTTACATCAAATGGTATTCCACTATCTTAACAGAGATTAAAGAAACTGTACCCTCGTTCTTCATGCATCCCAGTAAGTAGCTCCCTCTGAGCTTTATGACATGTTGATATCTCTCTCACA